ATGCTAAGTGAAATATGCCAGTCACAAAAAGACACTGTATGATTCCACATATAGGAGCTATCTAAAGTCATCAAATTCATAGAAAGAGAAAGCAAAATGGGGGGGGGTACTAAGGGATGAGGGAGCGGAGAAGGAGGAGTGTTGTTTAGTGGCTGTAGAGTTTCACACTTGCAAGATGGAAAAGTTCTAGAGATCAGCTCCACAACAATGTACATATACTTACCACTACTGAACTGAACACTTAAAAATGGTAAAGATCAGCTTAGCCAACGTTGCTCCGTGGTTGAGCCCCCTAAACAACAAATCAAACAGAAAGAGCCTCGACCTATGAACCAGGAGGTCTCTCGGTTCAATTCCAGGTCAGGGCACATGCCCGAGTTGCGGGCTCAATCCCCAATGGTGGCATGCAGGAGGCAGCCAATCAATGACTCTCTCTCATCATTGATGTTTCTGTCTCTCCATCTCCCTTCCCCTCTGAAATCAATACAAATGTATATTTTTTTTAAATGGTTAAGATGGTAAATCTTACTTTATGTGATTTTTACCACAATAAAAAATAAACTGCCTATATATACGCTTAGCACCCAGGTAGGGAACATAGACCCTACTTGTCAATGGGAAGAATGGAAAAGAATCATGCAGCCATCTTTAACCTGCCACGCCCACTGCAGGACACATCATGTCTAAAGCACCTGAGGATGTAGATGGTGGGATATTATTGCCAAGGCACTGTTCAATCTCCCAGAGATAAAGGGTGTCAGAAGGCCCTGTGAGAGGTGAGTGCAGTCTGAAACAAGAGAATAGGATAAAATGACTAAGCCTACACAGCCAATGAGGGGAAAAACGGCCTGGAATTCTTCCTATACTCATTTTTAAATTTTTTTTCCAATTAGTTTACATTCAGTATTATTTTGTGTTGGTTTCAGGTGTACAGCATAAAAGATCATATACTTCACAAAGCGTTGCCCTCAATATTGCCAGTACCCACCTGACACCATACAGAGTTAATACAATATTATTGACCACATTTTCTATGCTGTACCCGTGGCTGTTTTGTGCATACTAATATGTACTTCTCAATTTCTTCACCTTTTTCGCCCAGTCTCCCAATCCCTCTCCCCAATGGCAACTATCAGTCTGTTCTCTGTATCTATGAGTCTGTTTCTGTTTTGTTTGTTCATTTATATTATTCTTTAGATTACACAAATAAGTGAAATCATGTGGTATTTGTCTTTCTCTGACTTATTTACTTCCACAACAAAGATCTTGTAAGCCATTCTGCCAAAAGTCTGATATTCCCACCAAATACTTTTTCCACTGAGACCATACCTGCCTCCCCAAGCTATCATGACCTTGGGGACTCCAGGCCCTAACTGAATAGGTCAGATAGAAACAACCAGCAGAAGCTGACCCAGGAGACCTTTCAGAGTCTGCGAACACATAGAAAATTCAACAACAAACCATTTACATAGTCAAGACAAGGTGGCCATTATAAATGCTGCTCTCATGCACAGTGGTTCAAATGACAGCTTCAAAAGGATTTGCAAAGATCCCCATGGAATTGGAACATAGGCTAGTCAGAGCCCATGACGTGTTACAAGGACAAACCTGATTGAACAAAGATCTAAAGCATCACCAAATGACTTTTTATTCTGTCCTGCTCTGTACAAACATGGAAGAATATGACATCTTTTAAATTGCCTTCCCTGAATGATGCAATATCCATGGTGCACGGGAAATGTTAAGCTAAATTTTTTTTTGTGGGGGGGGGGGGGCGGGGGTAGGGGAGCAGAATGTTTTACAAAGTGAAGATCACAGTGTAACCACACTAATGCTCCCACTAGACTCTCAAACTGCCTTTGTGTCTCATAGTCATTAGACTGGAGGAGTAATGGCAATGTCCGCAGAGGAAAACCCTGCCTTTTGTCCTCTTTCACCTACTGGTTTCACTTAAAGGGCCAGTCTTTTCCAAGCCTTCAGCGGTTCTCAACCTGTGGGTCGCGACCCTTTTGGCGGTCGAACGACCCTTTCACAGGGGTCGCCTAAGACCATCCTGCATATCAGATATTTACATTACGATTCATAACAGTAGCAACATTACAGCTATGAAGTAGCAACGAAAATAATTTTATGGTTGGGTCACAACATGAGGAACTGTATTTAAAGGGCCAGAAGGTTGAGAACCACAGCTTCAGGTGGAGAATTCCTCATTGTGCATGCCATTTAAGTAATTGTAGCGGCATTCTAATTTTACTCCCCACAGCAAAGTGGTTTTCCTGAGATTGTGTGGGGAGTGTTTGTGTTCTGATCACTGCTGGAACAAATATGCTGGTTATTTTTAGCCAGCCTTGGTCTGCAGAATTCTCGCATACCTTGGCGCTCCTATTGCATAGTGGTGTCATGCACTAGGAAACAAAAAAACCACAGTGGTAGCAGTGTCTAAGTAACTCAAACTCAATCAAACATCCCTAGGAGGCTTTATGATGAGCAGCCTGTGTGCACCAGCAGGACTGGGACCAGGATGAGGCCAATGAGGTACCTAAACAAAGTGTTCCCCCTGATATTTCTAAGAAGGCACTCACCCTACATTTGCACAACCCTGACAGTGAGCACCTTCTTAAATCTTGTACCCTGGAGCCTCACTGACCTCACCCAATCCAGGCCTGGTTCACTGACTTCACTCTCTTATTTTTCCATTCACTCCTCAACTTCCTGCCCAAGACTGACATGATGTGTGGGCAGTATAGTCCCAATGTTAACAATTGAACAATGAAGAGAGCTTTAAGAAGGAAGGGTTGTCCTAGCTGGTTTGGCGCTATGGATAGAGCATTGGCCTGCGGACTAAAGGGTCCCAGGCTTAATTCCGGTCAAGGTCACATGCCCAGGTTGCGGGCTCGATCCCCAGGAGCGTGCAAGAGGCAGCCTATCAATAATTCTCTCTCATTATTGATGTTTCTCTCTCTCCCTCTTCCTTGCTCTCTGAAATCAATAAAAATATTAAAAAGAAAATAAGAAGAAGGAAAGGTTGAGGATATCCAGTCAAGATGGCAGTGTAGGTAAACTCGGTACTTGCATCCTCCCACAACCACATCAAAATTACAACTAAACTACAGAACAACAATCACTCAGAATCACCTGAAATCTAACTGAATAGAAGCCCTACAACTAGGGATTTAAAGAAGAAACCGCATTGAGACTGGTAGTGTTATCAGTGGGGAGCCCTCTTTGTCCTCACCTGTTGGTGGTGGAAGTGGTCTTCTTTTTTTTTTTTATTGATTAAGTTATTACATATGTGTCCTTATCCCCACATTACCCCCCATACCCCCCACTCATGCCCTCAACCCCCCTGTTGTCTGTGTCCATTGGTTAGGCCAGCGGTTCTCAACCTGGGGGTCGCGACCCCTTTGGAGGTCGAACAACCCTTTCACAGGGGTCGCCTAAGACCATCGGAAAACACATATATAATTACAGATTGTTTTTGTGGTTAATCACTATGCTTTAATTAATGTTCAATTTGTAACAATGAAAATACATCCTGCATATGAGATATTTACGTTATGATTCATAACAGTAGCAAAATTACAATTATGAAGTAGCAATGAAAATAATTTTATGGTTGGGGGTCAGCACAACATGAGGAACTGTATTAAAGGGTCACGGCATTAGGAAGGTTGAGAACCACTGGGTTAGGCCTATATGCTTGCATATAAGTCCTTTGGTTGATCTCTCCCCCTTATCCCCACCCTCCCCTACCTTCCCTCTGAGGTTTGATGGTCTGATCGATGCTTCTCTGTCTCTGGATCTGTTTTTGTTTATCAGTTTATGTTGTTCATTATATTCCATAAATGAGTGAGATCATGTGATAGGAAGTGGTCTTCTTGCAATGTCACAAGAAAAGGGATTTTCTGAGAATCACATGGGAGAATGAGGTATTATAGAAAGCTTTATTTCTTTGGAATCAAACCCTGAATTTCCAAGGTCCCATTTCCCTTTGTCCCAGTTGGTTGGAGTATCATCCCCAATGCCAAAAGGTGGTAGGTTCAATTCTGGTCAGGGCACATACCCAGGCTGAGGGTTCAATCCCAGTCGGGGCACTTATGGGAAGCAATTAATCAATGTTTCTACCTATCTGTCTATCTATGTATCTATGTATCTATCTCTCCGTTCCTCCCTCTCTAAAATAAAATTTAACAATATACCCTCATCTGAGGATTAAAAATTTAAAAATTGAAAGAATGTAAAAGAACAAAAAATAGAACTTTATATGCAAAGATATTCATTATTGACAATAATTTTTAAAAAATGAAACAATCTACATATCTGACAATGGTGAAATAGTGAGAATGGAAGGTTGAACATGCAATGAAAAGAAATGAGAATGGAATGGAATATTATGCAGCCATTAAAAAATTGATGCTGATGATGCAGAGAGTGGAAATGTAGAAAATTGTTTTAAATATGTTAACAGTGTCATCTATACCATGATGCCAACTATATAAAGTAAGTGCACACTTAGATAAGGAATGGAAGTAAAATCGTTGGTATCTCAATGTGACTGGATTGTGAATGATTTATCTTTATAATCATTTCTTTCCTCAACGTTATAATGTTGATTGTATGATAAATAAATGAAACTTGGAGGAAAAAGGAAAACACTCAAATGAGACATTTTTTTATGTCAGGCAATAAATAAATAAATAAATAAATCGGTGATGCTTGGGATCATTTCTCATTCTTCCTTGCTTTTTCAAAGCAGCCTGTAATCTTCACGCAGATGTAGGGAATACACGTGTCTGGGCTATGGGAGGAAGAGGGAGGTGCTTGCTAGAACACGATGCTGTTTGTTTAATGAACAGAAACCTCTTCAGTCTTCTTTGATGACAAATGCATTTGAACCATTTGTTAGTGTGGTTTTTCTGTGATAAATATGCACAAAAATCTTGCTAAAAAAATGACGCTCTTTTTCTTTTCTCTTTCTCTTCCCCATCACCCACCTGCAGTTCTGCTAAGCCAATATTCTCTAGAATGAGCACAAGCTAAACAAATCGAATAACAGCTTTTGTACATCAACATCAAGAAAGAAGACACTGGGGAGAGATTGGATATGGAGATGGATATGAACAAGAATGAAACACCCACTTTGTCAAATCAGATCAGAGATGGTAGTGATTTTCTAAAAGGAGATGTGATTATGGATTAAACACCAGCTCATAGGAAACTATCATTGTATAAGATCAGATACATTCACCAGAAATTACATTCATAAGAAATCATATTCAGGAAATATTTCAAGAAAGAGGAATATAAACATGCTAGAATTAACATGTTAAATATATATGTACTGAGGTTTGTAAACTGTCCTTTTTTAATCAAACTGAAAACAAAAAGCTTTAATCTTTTAACATTATATATAAAAAGGCAGTCAATCCTAAAGTATTTCTATCTCAGTAGTCAGGAGACTAATCAAGCATCATTTATTGAGGAAGCGTCTTAGAAAATGCCTCTGAATATCTTCATAGGGGCCATGACCTTTGGCTTCCCCATCTCTGCTGTTCATTTATTCCACTGTGTAATTAGGAACAATCAGTTAAGAGATGTAAAGCTTCAGAGTTTTTACCGAGTCTGTGTTCAGTTTAATGTCTGTACGAGTTATTACTGAGAAAGTGTTTCTGACGTATACTATGACTCCATCAAGCTGTATATTACAGGAAGTACATCCACATCACAGGTTCCCGAGAAACATAGTAAATTTCCCACCTTTCAGGAAACAGCATCAAGGAACTCTGAAAAATGTAGAAAGCTCATTTTCACCTTCGATGCTCACATATAATATAGAGGCTGCTATCAGATAAATACTTTTTCTAATTCTTCCTAGTATATCCATAAGAATTTAACATACTTTCTAAATAGGCATATGAAATATCTCCTCCTTTTTTTCCCTATTTCTTTCCCACACATGTCATGAGAAGTCCATCTCCTTTCTTTCCCTTACTGACACACTCATTTTTGTTTTAAAAACAAACAAATCATTCCATTAAACCTATTTCTAAATGATAGTAAGTGGTACTAAATAAATAATAATTTAATAGCCTTAGAAATAAATGAATATATACTTATACAGATCAAAGAAACTGGGTAGGAGTAAATTGCCTTTTTGTTTACTAACGTTGGTTTCAAAAATACTCAATTTTTTCAGTTGGTTGGCACCTGAAGGTAGTTACAACTGATCAGTTGTCTTCAACAATCTTTCCCTCCCAGGTCTCCCCCACCAGCACCCTCACCATGTAGCCTGCCAAATGCAACAACAGAAAAAATATTTAATAATGAAGTAGTCAATTGCTTGAGAAAGATCGCAAGCTAAAATGACCATGCAGGGATAATCAGTGTAAGCCAAACCATATTCTGTACCTGAGCAGAAAACATGCCTTCATTTTTAGACTCAAAATTAAGATAAAATTGGCATATATGTCACTGGAGCAGCGGTGGAGGATAATACAAGAAGTGATACAAATCACAATTGATTTCTCTTCTCTCTATTAGGGCCACACCCGTATTTTTGACAAATATTTCTGGCAGTCGCCATCTTTTCACCATAAACAAGATTATGTTTCAAATGGCTAAGAGTATGTTACAAGTATGCTCAAATCAGTGAAACCCAATTCACAAAGATATGGGTTTTCTAAAGAACTAAATTTAGGGACTACTTTTTATCTGGAAAGTAGCCATTCTGGGAGTTACTTTTGTTTTAGCTATTAGCTCTCCCGGTGCATTCAAAACACCCTACTTAATAAACTTAATTACACACAACTTTTCAAGAATTTATCTTTTATTTAAAGGGAAGTACCTCTCTACTTTATCTGCAATAAAGTAAAAGGTATTGGCTCTCTCTAACCCATGTAAATTACAGATTCCATTGGGAGTTTCTCATCACTAATAGTGGTGTTTAAAAAATTGAAAGTGTTTTCTATCCACATGCAAATGTTTTGTTAAACTTTTTTTCCCATAAAACCTAAGTGTAATTTAGCATACATACCACAGTGCTCTGAAAATCAGTCAGTGATGATGTACCATTTGTACATAGGTAATACACGTGTAAATCACTAAATGTTACGTATAAGAAGTATGTTTTTATCTTTTTTTTAAAAATAAAGTGACTCCCTTTCTCATTCTGTTCCATTGTATTGCGTCCAAAAGTTGTGTGTAATTTTTTAAGGTCCAGGAAATGTAAAGAAATTTGTTGGAATACCTGAATTTCTGTAAAAAAAAATAAAAATAAGATTTTGTTATTTTAAACATTGCTTGGCTGCATGGCACACATTCAGTGCATTCAGTGTCTGTCTTTGTCCAGTAACCCAGGGTCAGGTGATGATTTTTTTACTGAATTTTTCATTTATTTCTTATTTTTCTTTTTAATTACAATATTATATTTGTTTCAGGTGTACAATCCCCTGATTAGACGTTTATATAACTTACAAAGTGGTCACCCATAGGTGATGAATTGACTGAAATAGGTGTCTTCAAAAAATCTTGTCAGATTCCATAATATGTGCTACCAACAGACATTTATTAGATATAGAGGACCCTTAGAAGACATGATTAGCATCTCCAAAGCCTCTTCTAACCAAATATAGACAGACATGCCTCAAGCTAAATCTTCATATACTCATTGGAATAAAATTGGTAAGTAAAAAGTCAGGCTATCCAAGTAAAGCTTGACCTGAAATATTGAATTAATTGCTCGATCTTTACTTTGCACATTGAAAGCAGTCACCTGTTCCTCAGACATGAGCAACGCTTTGTCAACAGTTCATCCTGAGTATGTGTTGTTGGGTGGGTTCCAATGCCAGATCTTTCATTTACTATACGACTCTGAACAACTCTAAATCTCAGTGTCCTTGTCTATAAAATGGACATAAATAATAATACCTGGCCCCATAGTGGTGTTTTGAGGATATAAATTATAGTGGTGGTGTTGTGCTTGACAGGTAGGAGATATTCAATGACTGTTCATTCCTTCCCCTCCTACCATATGCAAGGCATTGAAGCCAGAAAAGAAGAAGGAAAAAAAAAACACATAAGACACAGCCTCTGCTCTCAAAATGCTGACGATAATTAGAGTGACATTTATGATCAGGGATTAAAAATTTAAATGCCTATGGGGCCAGGTTGGTAAATAACAACAAAGCGAAGCAGGCTGGGTTGGGGACATAATAGGAAGTAGCGGGCACTGGAGAACCTAGTTCCTATCTAAAGAGACTAAGTAATCCATGTTCAGTTCTAGTCACTCAACAAACAAGTATTGAGTCCCTACTGTGTGCCAGGGACTGTTCTAAACCCTGAGAAGACAGTGGTAAACCAGATAAGCAAGGTCCCTTGAACCTAAACAAGGCCTTGGGTTCTAGTAGGAAAAGAGACAATGAACGGGAAGGTGTCAGCTAATACGCACTAGGTACCTTGGACAGAATTAAAATGGTGATAATGGAAGGCTAATCACGGAAAGCTGCTATGAAAAGGTGGCACTTAAATGAGCATGAGAAGAATGAGCCAGCCAGGTGAAGAAGTGGGGAAGAACATGCCACACACGAGCACCAGTGTAAAGGCTCTCACGCAGGAGAAAGATCACACTTGAGGGGCAGCCAGACACAGAGGCAGGTGATGTGAACAGCTCTGCGCTTTGGAGGCCAAGATGGTTGGTACATTTTTTAAGTGTGAGAAAAAGCCATTTGAGAGCCTTAAGAGAAGAGCCATGCAAATTATTTTACATTTTTAAAAGATCACTCTTGGCTTCTGCTTGTAGCCGTATGAACTAGATATTCCAAAAAGCCTTCCTTATACAATACTACTACGTCTTGGATAATTACAGTGAGCTTGTTTTTTTAATAGGCGGCTTAGCTTGCAGCAAAACCAGAGAAATCCCAATGGGCGTAAAAAAGAAAAAGAAGAGTAAACTGGAAACTGTGTGTGAAGTGTAAGCAAATGCAAACACTGGGAGTGCCTGAAGGCATTCCCATACAGAGTCGGGAATGGGAGGCAGCCTTGGGCCATTGGAACTGGATGAGCTAAATTTGAGAATCCCACCCTAAACCTGGACACTTGAAGAGAGCCATAACCTCAGACAAGGGTGGCCCAGGAAAAATATTCATGCTAGCAACAAAAGAAAGGTATCAAGAATTCTTAACTCCACACTGGCTCTAGATGGAGGGGGGAAAAAGTAAAGAAAAAGAGGAATAGTCACTCCTGAAAGTTTTAACCCATGGATTTGGTTCCCTAAAGTCTAGAATTCTATCTTACATGCTCCATAGATATTACATATTTTTTTAAAAAAAATTAAAGAGCTTGCTAGAGCCCAGTAGTTGGCAGCACAAACACACATCTTGTCGGGAGGAAGCAACATAGATCTCGCCAAATAAGGTCAACAAAGTCTGAGCGTCTTCTGTTTCTGAACATCTTATGAGCCGAAACACAGACTGCCTCTACTCCCAGCTGTTTTCAAGACTCTTTAGGTAGCAAGCAGCCTGGGACAGGACAAACAAGCTCTCCCTCCAGAGCAAAGAGTAGGTTTGTTCACTGTTCTGTAACAAAGATACCGTGTCCCTCTTGGGCAAAGATCAGACTGGCTCATTGCTCATTATAAAAGATTCAGGGTCCCTTAGCTCAGTGTTCCTCTCCTACAATGCAACCCAGTGCAACACAAGTGCGAGGCAGCCCTCTTCTCGTAGGGTCTCTGAGAATGTGGCAAGGGAACCAACAGCAGCTTGCTGCTCGCTGTGCTGGCCTGGGGGTCTTGTGTTCTGCCAGCATCCATAGACTGGCAGGCTAGCTTCTTAGTTTGCAAGTAGGATAAACTATCAGACTCTTCACAGTTCTTCATGGTTATCTACTTGGGAAAAAGAAATAAAATTAAATATCTACCTCACATTGTACACAAAAACCTACTCCAAATGAATTAAAGACTTAACTGTGAAAGGCAGAATTTTAAATTTTAAAAGAAAATATAATCTCAGAAAAGGAAAGGACTTATTGAGCAAAACAATATCATAAAGGAAATAATTGATCAATTCAACTAGATTCAAATAAAAAATGTATGTTCATCAAAATATTCTATAAAACAAAAACTAAAAGCCACAAATTGGGAGAAGGTATATGCTAAATAGGTTACTGGTAAAGGATAACAATACAAAGTAATATAATAAACTCTTAAAAATCAATTTCTTAGCCAAAAAAAGGAAAAAAATGACTGAAAGGTATTTACAGAATTTACCAGAAAAGGAAACACAAATGACAAACATGAAAAGATACTCAACTTCATTAGTAATCAAAAAATGTCAGTTTATTGCACAATGATAATATTACCCATTATTCTAGTATGAATATAAGTCTAAAAATATTAAGCATTGGTATGGTTGTGCAGAAATGGAATTTCTTAATACTATCGGTAAGAATAAAAATTAGTATGATCTCTTTGAAAAACAATTTGGCATTATCTTGTAAAATTGAACATTAGCAACACTAAATTCATCAATTCTATTCCTAAGGATATAGGCTGGAAAAACTCTTGCAAAACACATGCATGAAAATGGAAAACACAAATATCAACAGAGAATAGATAAATAAATAATAGATTATGCACAATTTATTTTTAGTTAATTTAATACTACTATAAGCATGAAAATGAATAAACCTAATTTACAAACACCAACATAAATGATTATGTGTTATATATATATATATATATATATATATATATATATATATATATATATATATATGAAACGTTGGGGGAAGGGGAGAGTTGCAGCAGATTCACTATTGCTTCATTTGTAAATCTCAAAAGCAAGCAAAACTAAACTATCTAATGTTTAGTGATAAATACCTATGTGGTAAAACTATAAAGATAGAAGCAAAAGCTATGACTTGGGGTGGTGAACACACAATACAATACACAGATGATGTATTATAGAATTGTACACCTGAAACATATATAATCTTATTAACCAATGTAACCCCAATAAATTTAACTTTTTAAAAAGGAGAAAAGGAATTATAAAAACAAATCTCAAGATTGTGGCTACTTCTAGGGAGTGGGGAGGGATTGTAACAAGGAAACGTGTACAGGCAACTTCAGTAGTTCCAGATCTTTGTTGAATGGAGGGTTCATACGTTCATTTGTTTCATGCTTCCTAAATGTTACATATATATACATACATACTAGAGGTCCAGTACACAAAATTTGTGCACTCGGGGGGGGGGGGGGTCCCTCAGCCCAGCCTGCGACCTCTTGCAGTCCTAGGACCCCGCGATTGATCGCCCGTAGAGGGAGGCCCCGCCCACCCACTGCAGCCCACTGGTCGGTGCCTGGGCCTTCTCTTTGGGGCAATCGTGGAGCCCCCCGATTGACTGTCCCACTGGCCAGTGGCCTGGGCCTCCCTCTGTGGGGTGATCGTGGGGCCATGGCGGGGACACCTGCCTTGGCTGGCCTTGCGTCAGTGGGTGTCATAGCGTGGTCATCTGGATGGTCATTCCGCTATTCAGCCATTCAGTCAATTTGCATATTACTCTTTTATTATTATAGATATATATAATATTGTCCAATGAAATAAGAAAAATTAACTTGCTATTTTAAAAGAAAATGGACTATTATGAGAAAAGCAGGGAGATTGGGGGAAGGCTACTGTAGTAGTCAAGGTGAGAGGAGATGGTGGCTTAAACTAGAATAGTCAGCGTGGAGATGGAAAGAGGTGAGTAAATTTGGGAGACTGTTGACATGGCTGGTGTGGCATACTCTCAAAAAGTCACTAAATATCATGTCAGAACAGGCTACAGGACAGGAGAGTGAGCATAGGAACCCTTGGGAAGGCTGGAATGCATAGAAAGCTGGGTAAGATCCACTTAAAATGGTCACAGAGAGGAAGGCAAGTCTCAAATGGACTTTCTCAAAGCCAGGATTTGGGGAGTGGGAAGCAAAAATTTTTGGCTAACGCATGTGGCTACATAGCTTACATAGCTTCTCCAATCTAGCATTGGTCAGCACTAATACCTTTTATTACTATTATTATTATTATTATTATTATTATTATTATTGATTTCAGAGAGGAAGGAAGAGGGAGAGAGAGGGATAGAAACATCAATGATGAGAGAGAATCACTGATCAGCTGCCTCCAGCACACAACCCCAGGCATGTGCCCTTGACCAGAATTGAACCCAGGACCTTTTAGTTCGAAGGCCAAGGTTCTATCCACTGAGTCAAACAAGCTAGAGCACTAATA